TATATATATATACGTATGCATATATAGATAGATCGATCGATATATTGGTCTGCACATATGTGTGATTCGTCTTGAGGAAAGTGTAGTTGGTAACCTCTATAAGGTAGGGGTTACTGGAAGGTTTACGATAAGGATTTACTATGAATCAGCAAGAGGCCTGAACAAATGCCGACATAGTTCCTGAAAGTTCCTTGTTATCTCAAATATAAGACTCCTGACAAATTCTATAATCTAAACCCCTACACCCTGAAACCCGTAAACCCCCCTAAATCCTGGAACCCCTGAAACCTGAAACCCCTCGAGTTCTCACGGTGCTGCAGGGTTTGGGGGAGTGAGGATTTCGGGCTCAGGCTCTTGGTCGTTTCGGGGCTTCAGGATTCTAAGTTTCAGGCTTTGGGATCTAGGCTCCGGGGTTTTGGAGCTGATTTCAGGGTGGGGTTTAGGGCTTAGAGTTTAAGAGCCAAGTTGCCGGTTCATGCTGCTGATGCACCTGAGTTTTCGAGAGGGGGGGAGAGGGCTGAAGGGTTTTTTTGATAAGCAGCGCTGAACTTCAGAGCTGCAAAGTGGGTTGGGATTTCGGGCCGTAGGGTTTCAGGGTTTGGGTGCTTAGAACACGTCCGGAAAAGGCTCACTTCCCATCTTGTACCTAAGGAAACCTAACTGGATGAACGGCTTAGCAAACTCATGCGGGCCAGGGCGTGTCAAAGATGGGCTAAGAAGAAGAGAAGAAACAGACACGGCTTCAGATGGGGTTGTTCATGGCTGCTGCATCTGAACGTTCCCTGCAAGGGCAATGAGTGGAGTAGGGCCTACTTGAAACAAGCCCCCGGCCCGTAGTCATCAAGCTATATAGGACTTGATAACCTCAAGGCCCCAAGGCTTGACTCCCCAATGCAAGTCCCGTGCAAAGCATGAAAATTCACAAGAGTCGAAACTAGTTGACAAGAATGAACCCCCTTATAATTAGTTCAGAGTATACCCCAAGAATTCACTTTATCGTACTTATTAAGGCCCACATGTTATGTGCAATTTCGGGCTCCCAGCTGAGGTATTGCTGCTAACGGGATCTCTGGCATGGTTTTCTCTGTGCAACTTGACGATGTAGTTTAGGGTTGAGGGCTTTAAGGTGGGTGACATAGAGTCATGCGCAGAGTCTTCGGATCAGTTCGTGCGAGGTTGAGGGCGAGATGTGCTCTGCGGCGTAAGTGCTTCATGTACAGCTTTTTGACCCTAACGATGCATGTTCTTAAGGCTATGTTCAGGGCTTCAGTCGATGCTGCCGTCGCGATGCGACCGGCTCCCCACTAGCCTGCGGCCCGGTTGTAGGATGAAGGTTCATCGTGCTGAATGTTCACACTCCAATAGGGACTCGTAGTTTACGAAGCTTGCATCGAAAGCACTAAGCCTGAAATCCTCGATTGCTGCCTCCTGCTCGTCATGGGCATACAGGTTGATCGGAGAGAGCAGCTCCAGGGCTTCGCAAGTTACGCACTCTGCGTCAGTCCTGCCGGCCACCCCCCCCCAAGATACATACAGAAAGACAAGCAGACAGACAGATAGAGCGAGACGGAGAGGTCATGCGAGAAAGAGAGGAGAGAGCGAGAGAGAGAGAGAGAGAGACTGCGCCAAAATCTACGGCTCTGGACTTCAGGCTTTACCGCGTCTTTGAGGAGCCTCTTCTGCAGCGTTGAGGAACTGAGTACAAGACTTTCTCGCGCCCCAAACGTGGCAGGGGAGACCTGCAGCAAGAAGTTTCAACTGAGGGATTTTCGAAGAAAGCCAAGTCAAGGGAGCTTGCCTTGTGAGACTTGCGACAGGGTTTGCCAGACAAGTCTTGCTAACCCGTTAACCTTAATTAATTCTCAGATCACGATGCCCACAACCTCAGCCATGCGAGAGGGAAATAAGTTATCAGATCTTAGAGCAGGTCTCCCCTTTGTTTTCCTGCCACCGCGTGGCAAGGGTTCCGCATAGCGGCCCCCAGCACACCTCTGACTTGCAAGCTACCGCTCTTGTTCACGCCGTGATTCCGTAGGGTCAACCCAAACCCTTACTATGGCAGCTGCGACGACGACTACACCACTACTAGCA